AAATCAGGATTCTTTACAAATCTTTTCTCTAACTGTAATAGTCGTTCTTTTGCAACATCTCTGGACGATCCATATTGACAAGGTGGGTCTATTTCTCGAAATGGTAAACTAACTATGTATCTACCATCTTTGTCTCTGGTACAAGTCTTTTCGTATATTTGCTCACATCGACTCTCTTCTTCAGTCAGAACATTTTCACGAAAAGAGTCAGATTCTATCTCCCAAAATCTTTGTAAAATATTATCCTCAATTGTAAGATGCATACTAGTTGTAACTTTGTAGCTTTGTATAGTCTCCTTATTGTGCAACCGGCCTAACAAAATCCACCCGAGGTATGTATTTTGCGCTATGATTGTACCACGGGGGCCTTTACTTAATCCTTCTTTCAGGATCTCGCTGTAAACTTCTGCACTCAACAAGATATCAATCTTCCCAGGTGTGTCAAAATGAGGATCTGCTAAATCCAGATTGTGCAGATGTGGCCAGTTCTGTTTGTATATTCGTTGAGCAGGCTGTGATCGAGTAATAGATTTTAGAACAAATGCTTGTACTGATATATTAAAACTCTGATCATATCTCGATTGTGCTATGAATGTAACCATGCTATTGGATGTGAGACTTGCTTTGCCATCTTCGCCCAGTCCATTAATTGTGCATCTGACTGTAGTTTTCTTTAATCCGAGGAACTGTGCAGCGGACTCCGTTATAAATGAACCTTCGGATCCCGGGTCTATCAGAGCACGCAAATAGTATGTAGTCCCATTTGATGATTGAATTTTAACCAGTGCTGTGGCCAACAGCACGTTCTTGGTCATTTCCTGGTCCGCGTAATGGGTCGCTACATTGTGATTGACTGGTGTTGAAGCTACTTCAGGTTGTCTACTTTCTCGTATGTGTGAACTTTCTCCTGCATCTGAAGAAAGATGATCTAAAGTGTTGCCTTCGGGGTGAATCAATGAATGATGTTTCTTACTACATCTTCTACACGTAGTTTTTTGTTTACATTTGTCAACGGTATGGAAAGGAATCAAGCAGTTATAGCATAATCTATTCTGTTCGACAAAACGTTTGCGATCAGTATAGGTAAGATGAGCAAATTCTTTGCATTGATATATAAAATGATTTCCTTGACAAAATTTGCAAGTGGTTTTAAATGTGGTGTGAAAAGTGTTCTGTCGTGTATTGACTTTAGAGGTAGTCTTTGACGATTCTAACATCTCAAGAGTACGGAAACGAGACTCAAGATAACCACACAGTTGTTTGAATGTTGGCAGGCTAGTCCCGTCGTCCTCTCGATTGATTTGTTGTTCCCATAATCGGATGGATTCTGCATCTAATTTTGAAACAGTAATATGGACTATAATTGCGTCCCAACTCAATGTGTACACTCCAATATTGTTTAAAGCATTTAGGCATTCATTTGTAGTGTCAAGCAGATTTTTGATAGATCCTGCTGATTCGGTGGATAGTGATCTTTGTGCCAATAATCTCTTCAGTATAGATGTAACAATGAATCGTTTGTTGTTGTATCGCTTTTGTAATGTAGCCCAAGCATCATCATAGTTAGCATCACTTATAGGTATGTGTTTTAACAAGGATGCTGCCTCTCCGCTCAGACTCGACTTGAGATAGTGCAATTTTTGCACATTCATAAGTGCTGAATTTCGGTGGATGAGCGATACATATAAATCGTGAAATGGTATCCACTCAGAATACCTTCCTGAAAATACTGGAATATTGATATGGGGCAGTTTGAATTCTGGAGCCATAGCTGTAGGTGATTTCAACGGTGAAGATGTGCTCTGACTAGCATCTAAGGTTGGGTTGGGAGCACAGAATGTTTTTAATATATCTTTCATTTCACACTTCGCAGTAGTATAAATGTCTTCGGTTAAATCATAAATTTCATTTTTTACATAGTCCGATTCCTGTATATTAATGTCAGTGGTCATCATTAATGTTCTATGATTTTGAGTAAATGTATTCCACAGATCTTCTAATATTTCTAATTTTACTTGAGCGTATGTTTCTGTTAATCTAGTTTTAGGTGTCTTCTTAAAGTTTTTCAACGTCTTGTCTATCTGTTTACGTAATTCTATTTGTGTTCTCATTAAATTTGCCATGTTGAATTAACACAATATTTTTAAAGCTCAAATAATGTATCTATTTATTTGTATAAATCCACAAGAAACCACAAGTATATCATTAACAGAATATTTTTAAAGTATTTGAAATGCAATGCAAAATATTCTAAGTTCCAAATATCAGTAAAATAAACTAAGTTAATGGAATGTCCACTGAAAATATTTAAAAGTCCCAAATGCAGTAAAATTTTAAAATTGTTAGGAGTATTGAAAACTTTTCATAGTCTTTAATAGTAGTGATACAAAAAATTCTAAGTCTTTAGTTATAATAAAATGTTCACTGTTAAATGCTAAGTTCCAGAATAATTTAAATTTAAAGTTTTAATCACTATTTTAATTTTAGAGTTAATTCATTAATTTCACTGTTTCACTTTTAAGTCTTTTGTACTCACTGTTCATAGGGTCCTTTGTCACTTTACCACTCTTTTTCACACTTGTAGCACTTTTTTCACACTGTCTTAACACTACGACGCGATATACTAGGTGAACGCGGTTTTTTTTTTTTTTTTAATTCGGCTATCGATGGACCAATGTTGGGGTACGCGCCGCGGTATTAGACAGCCCAAAAAATCCCCGAAATGAAACACAACATACGAGAATGAGTATAATGTAAAAAAATTTATTACAGTACTAAATATTTCAAATCTACAATGCTATAACCTGGTTTTCAGGGAATTAAATTATAGCGTGTTTTAGAACAGAGCGCCATCTAGTATGAACGTTAGAATTAAATCAGAATAATAATTGTATCTCCGCACAAATCATTAAGTAAATCTAAATAAACCATTTGTAAAGTACAAATACAATATATATATAAAGTGTATAAACTATCAATTTATAAATAGTGGCGCTCTCAACAGGTACCAATGTGATATTTCCAATAAAATTTTGTTACCTTTACAACAAGTTCTATAGAAACAAGCTATTTATTTACTTTACACTTTATTGCACCAAGTAAAAAAATAATAAATACAGTAAATATTAATGAAAAGTGATACAAAAGGTGGCCTTATCACTTAGCAATCTCTTCCAGACAACCAAACAAAGCTATATTTCAGTTTGAAGGCTAAAATACAGTAATGTAAGACATATTATAGTTCTCAGTGGGTAACATGGACAAAAAATTGTCTTCTCTGATGTACATTGTGTTATTCAAATCTATGGGTGACAGAAACTAATATCCTAACTAATAACTAATAAGAGGTGGTTAAAAATATTTTAAAATTAAACATTTTCACCTATGGATTTAATACAGAAACAATTGCAATCTACAGTCATGATACAGCAACTGTATAATAATATAAGGCAATTCTTTTCTTTTTATGCAACTTAAAATGGCAAACAAGCTGATGGCTCACTAGATGGAAAGTGTTAACCATCATCTATAGGGGGAAAGGTATTGTTAGTAATGGGGTCTAACTGCCTCGTTGCTCACTATATACCCACACTATCAGGTCAACCTCCATGTAGTTCCCCCTGGAAACCATAATGATTAATTCTAATGCAATTCATCATGATGGGCTAACTGACCTGCTTTCATTGTCATCTATCATCCCTCATTGGTGCCCTGCCAGTATATACCGTTAGCGCAGGTAGGGTGACCATTCAATTATCACTCATTAAAAAATCCCTCACCTATAGACATGTACAGTTGTACATTTATTTATTCTTTATTGCACAATAAAACTACAAATGGCAAGCTTAATGCCATATGGCATTCACTACCAGCTAACCATTGGGTAAAAACAGAAAACGTATGAAGGGCAGATGTGGCAAATAATTTTGTGCCAGTCTTTTTCTAAAACCACCCTCCTTTTATAATTTTTTATGATATAGTCTGTCATAATGTGTGATACATTGTTCAAAATAAAAAAAGCCATGATTAATTCGTGCTGTTTCTAATTTGATCTATAATAAGTATCATGGACATAAGAGAGTATCATCATATGTAATGAAAATTGGACTAGCAGTTCCGCACTAAGTCTCTCTGAATACCATCATAACAGTAGTGTTTTGTTAAAAACACATGTTATTTAAGTTCTGTATTAAGTGGACTGAGATTTTTAGATTTTATCTAGTAATTTTGAGCCATTGATACTTTTATAAGAAGGTAGTAAAAGATTATTCAATTTTATTTTTATTATTTCCATAAGTAGGTTCACAATTAATAACATGGTAACTTTATACTACTGGTATCCTATAGCAGGGCACCACTGAGTGGTGACAGATAAGGAAGAACACCAGGTCAGTGGGCTCATTGTGATTAATTCATTAGGAATTAACCATAATGGTTTCCAAACGGAACTAGAGGTAAATGACCTCTGCGCCAATCTGATAGATCATATTGCTATATAGAGATCAGTAGTCATTATAATTAATAAACCCTTCCATTTACCAATATAGGTTCACAATATCATATTGGCCGTTAACTGCCCACTGCTGAACATAGGCCTATCCCATAAGAGTATTTTGCTAGTAGTCACCACATTTGGGTTGGTTAAGTTTTGATGGTGTTTTAAGAGGGGCGCTGCTGTCTATCTCTCAACCATTGAGTTCCCTTAAACACTCCTAACAACAACCTCTGGAATGGTGGCCTTTTCTATGCCAGAAACACACGGTAAGGCAACATGATTTTTTTTATACCACAGGAGGGTAAATATGAGTTACTTTGACTACATGTTTCTAATAACAATTAACTTGTATCAACATCCTAAGAGATGCATAGAGTATGGTATGTAATGAACTATGTTAAATTCTATCATTAATGTTCTTCATGGCGATACTAGCATGTAATTGACTTTGATCTACAAGTGATAAACAAAGCATATATAGTGATGCATTGTGACATATGCTCACCTCAAAAACTCCAAGGCATCGGCCGAGTTTGCCGATAACACCGGCCTCCTCGAGAACCTCGCGCATGGCAGTCACCGAGGGCTCCTCCTCCGGCTCCACGCCGCCACCGGGCACTATCCAGTTGTCTGGGCGGCGAGACGACGTCACAAGAAGTACCTACGTACCACAACAACATGTAACAACGACACGTTATGCATTCGATGTAGTTTTAGTGTACAATTTGTTGAAGTAACAACAAAATTTCACACTAACCTCTGTTTCGGCGTCCGAACGCACGCAAATACACGCCGCACGGCGTCTGAAACCTTCATCGTCGTAAATCCGAATTGAATTAGGTTTTTCCTTCACCATTTTCAGAATACACGTAAATACGAACGAAACAGACGATTACAAACAAAAAGCTGACATCAAATATAAAGAAAACTATGAACCAAATGTAATTTTTTAATGATCAACAAACGCCATAACCCAGGTATCCTATGATAAACGTATCCATTTTCGACTATAAAGTTACACAACGTACATGTAAAACGAAACTATATTAACAATAACACTACAATTAGAACAATATTTTAGCTATAACTAGCTGTTGATCGCGTATTTTAAGCCCATGTTGAATGGTGCCTGACGTTTTCTTTCTTTGCGAAAATCGAAATAGGTTTTGGAAAGCAAAAGGGAATCTATCAGCTGACAACCGGAAGCAGATTTGTTGTATTGCCATATATAAGAAAAAAAAGTGTCAGCGTTGTCTTTGATTCTATAATAAAATGTATATTACACAATACATGGGAAATCTTTGATTTCATATGCTATCATCCATTCTAAATCGAACTCTTACGAATTTATTGTGGCTTATATAAACGATGAAATTTACATTTTTTACCGCTTGTAATAGAGAGCTGCTATGTATTATAATTTAGGTATATTTCTGAACTCTAGCTAAGATTATTAAATTTATGGCCTAAATGTTTTGGCCGTCGTAAATTGTATAGTTACTTATAGATAATAATAAAGTAGACTAAGATATTGTGATCCTCTCAGATGTATTATATTCTTAGCATTATCATAATAACCCGCCGACGTATATTGATAGTGCAGGTGAAGTCAATATTTCATATTTACCAAAAAAAAAACCTATCTTTCAAGAAGGAGGGGGAAAATATTAGTAATGGACTATAACAAGTTTGTTGCTAGTTATAACTCTATTAGGTAAAGAAAATAGGTTTTTTTTTCCTTCAAATTGTCAGGATGAGCCAACTGAACTACTTTCGTCTTCACTTCTCACGTGAGTCACCAATACTGGTACCCTACCAGTATATATCGATAGCGCAGGTCAATCAACCTCCTCTTAAAAATTTATGAGGAAAAAATATGGTGATGCAGATCTTATTCATCACTATGAGTAAGAGGTCGTAGATAGAGAAGAGATAATTTATAGGGGTAACTGATTAACATAAATTAAATAGAAATTTTTATTAAAATTTTCTTAGTATAACAATTCCTTAGTGTGACAACTTCAACAACAACAAGAGGTTTTTTCAGGGTCGGCAACGCACACGTAATACCTTTGGTATTGCAGGTGTTCATAGGCTACGGTAACCACTTACCATCAGGTGGGCCGTATGCTTGTTTGCCACCTCAGTGGTATAAAAAAAAAACTTTATTTTTTAAGCCTACTTTTGAATCAGGATTTGAATTTGATTAAATTTAGTTTTTACTCTGCTTTTTTAGCCAGTAGAGATAATAATATAATCTAATCAGTAGTAATATAATCAATAATATAATCAGTTAGCCAAAGACCGGGAAGATAATTGAGACGTACTAGACGAATAGGAGCATGGCGATCATATAATTCTAGAAGAAAAGTGTTAAACAATTTGATTTGCTCATCGACTGAGTTCTAATTATTAATTGTTGTCCAGTCACATATAGCATCTTTCTGTAACTGCTCCAAATTCATGGCACAAAAATTGCGCCGCATTACCACTGTAGAGTGGTAGAGCTTAGGTTAAGAAGGACGAATTTACTAATGAAAGGTATATTAAATAATGATATGAGAAAGCATCTGCAGGACACTGACCATGCTTAGCAATAAGATCAGATATAACAAACATAAGATCTAAAAGAAAAGGATTACTATTGAGAAAAAGTGCGTTGCATGAAAAGGCAGGATATGGAGGTTACAAGAGTCAGCTAGAGAACTAAGAGGTTTTGCGAGGATTCTAGTGGGAGTCGTTAGGAGATATGTGTCTTTCAGATATGTGTTAAAATCATCCATAATAATGATGTGATTAAAAGATGGGATTAAGACTGTAAAATACACCAAGAAGAAGTTTAAAATGATAAAGATGTCGATCTTAATAAAACTGAATTGTGGTTATTAATGCAATAATTAACCTATCTTTGTTTCTGCATTTGTATTGAGTGTGAATGTAGATGGCGTACCTTTTAGTTCCTCATGCTTAGTCTGCTTCATTATTATATGGCTGTGAAGATAAAAAAGTTTATTTTACCTCTTCATTAAATCAATGCAATTTGTCTATGGATAATTAGTTTCTAAGTTGTATAAAAAAAAGTTGTGTTGATGTGTATAGCATAGATTAAGCATTTTTCGATTATCTATGGATAATAACATTCCTATAACTGACATTTATTTTAAAATTTATTTTGTTGTTCCAGTTTAATTTTATTTCAGGTTCAATGGGTAAGTAATTAAAATTAAATATATATATATGTAATACTAACGTCCTTATTTTGATTTACTTTAACATGTATTTTAAAATGATATTAGTTCTAGGTAGCACAAAATTCAAAGGTAGTACAAAATTCAGTTTCAAACCCTGCATAGGTAACATTGTTTGACATACTCAAATTTTGTTTTTATTTTCAGAGAGAAGTTTCGATTTAGGTGCTCTCTTGAAAAATCATGAGAAGAAACATAAAGCAAAGCCAGCGCACTTCATGAGCGTAGCCAGCGGGGTACTGTCAACTGTTTAAATTATTTTATAGGCTGTACAGTATTTAGCTAATAATGCATGAAACTGTGGTAGGTCGTTTTTGAATAACCACTCTTAGCTTTAGCCAATGTTGTAGTATATCATTTACTTAATCAGTGTTATGCTGGATTTTAGGTGAAGAATAGGCTCGAAACCAACTTGAAAATTAGGAGAAGTTCACGATTAACAGTTTTTGATAAGATCAGGAATTTACCAAAATGTGAGAGCCCCGAGCCTTTATCAGAAGCTGAGTTAAAGGTTCAGAGGAGGCGGCAGCAATTGGAGAAATGGAAGGAGGATAAAGAAAAAAGGAAAAAAGAATTAGCAGCACAGAAGAAGAAGCCATTTGTAACTGGAATACCACATGCACCACTGAAGTTTGTGCCACCACCACCACCACCAAAGCCTGTCCTGAGTAGCGGAAGGATCACAGCTCCGAGCACATCTGGGAGGGTCACAAGGTCTCAGTCAGCAAAAAACAATGCTGCCAAGAAAGATCATAAAGTACAATCATTTGCTCCTAAGAATGCTACCTTCCGTCCTCCTCAAATAAAGAACCTAACAAAGGTTCCAGTATTAGCACCAGTCACAAAAAACAAGAAGGATATTAAAGAGTATATTTTTAAATTTAATTCTATTTCCAATAATGGATCAAAGGAGAATCCACCAAAGCAGACCAGATCAAAGACTACTAACAAGCTACCTGCATCCAAAGTTAATACTCATAAAAAGGAAAAAGCTGCAGAGAATAGAACTATTAAAAGCCGGCTCACAAAGAAAGTCAGTCCAAAACCACCTAAAATTGCTGAAAAATTATTGTCAAGTTCATCAAGTAGTAGCATGGGAAAGTCTTCATCAGAGGAATCTTCAGTGGGAAAAAGCAGAACACCAAGGAAATCAATTAGGATGGACTCTAACAATTTCACTCCCAAAAACAATATGCCTAAGAGTGAGTCTAGCTCTGAAGAGAAGTTGAGATCTCCAAAGTCTAATGATATAGGAATGACTCCTGAACAGATAATTGAGGAGTCCAAAAGAATAAGTCCATGTGTTACACTGTCTCGTGGAAAGGATAATGCTAGGAAGGAGATGAAGAAGAAAATGGATGAAGGTGAGTTGTGAATCATTATATGAACTGGCTTTTGCATGGATGAAGTTTTTATATAATTACATATACTTCCATGTTATAGCTTTTGATCCATACAGCCAAGCATTTCAATACAATACACTAGTGGATTAGGTCTAACTGTTTACATTTAGAGGCAACCACAGCATGCTTTGAGAAACATCTTTCATATATATATTAACTAAAATAATAGACTTGGTTTTTACATGACATCTTATAACTGTTGCTAGTGGAAGAACTGTGTTCAGAGACTTGGACTATTTTTAATGGTTTTTTTTTTACAACTTAGAATGGCAAACAAGCTGACGGCCCAACTGATGGAAAGTGGTAACCGTCACCTATACACATGAGCAGTACCATGGACAAAACAGAGTATACTGTTTCGCCCATGATACCCCCCATGCATTGCCATTCCTGAGGACTTGGGTGTTATTCCTCTTTCAAAACCTTCACCTTCAAACTGAAACACAGCCATGCAAACACAGCTGCTTTACAATTGAAACACGAATAGGGCAGAGGTACCCAAGCAATCGACTTTTAATATAATTCATATTAAGCTGGCTAGGGTTTTGTTTTTAGTTGTCCTTCCATTGCATTAATTAGTTCTTTTTTTATCTTATGGTGTTCAGCTACATATGAAAAAAAAATGTATTCATACTTAGACATCGCATGGAGATTCTCATTTATTTCGGATATAACCCATTTTGTGTTAATATAAATTTAGTTTACTAATTGAATCAATTGGTTTAGGTTTGTTGGATGAAGACACCGGTGCTATAGACAGCGTGGATCACTTTCGCAGACAGCTGAACTCGGAGATCACGCGGTTGACAGAGATGTGCGACCTGTGGGAAAAGATACGCGAGCAGACGCCACTCGTGGATTCTGTACAGGTATTTCTCTATTTTATAACTAGTATTGTTCATTATGGTCTGGGGCTATTTTATAAATCTATTTTTAAATAAAATATCATGATTTCATGATTATTTACTCCTAAACTAAAACATGTGTGTTTATGTGTATGTATAGTTCAGGATGTTTCGTCATTTAATGTATGAAAATGGAATAGCAACTTCACTTACGCTATTGGTATATATGGTCTGGGTACCAGTGAAAGATAATAGGTGAAGATGAAAGCATGTCGTTTAGTCCATCGTGACAAATTCCACAAGATTTAATCACAATTATTTCCAGGCACACAGTGTGGAAGTCGACTTGATATCACTAGCAGTGGTGCTGTTAGACCACATTACTAATGATCCCTTTCTTCCCAGGAGGAGGTGTTTTTTTTTTAATGGTTGATAATGGAATGGTAACCCTGCCTGCGCTATCGGGATACGCTAGCGGAGCACCAGTGAGGGATGATAGGTGAGGATGAAGCAGGTCAGTTGGCCCATCGTGACAAATTCAACAAGAATTATTCACGATGGTTTCCAGGGGGAACCACGTGGAGGTGACCTAATAAGGCATATTGCTAGCAGTGGGGCTGTCAAACTCCATTGTTTACAATCCCTTCTCCCCCAGGACGAGGTGTTAGGTGCCATAGGCCAGGGCCGGCTGCTGATGTCGTCGAAGCTGCAGCAGTTTGCAGGGTTGGTGGAGCGCTGCGCCCGGCCTGAACCCGGCGCCGCGCTCGTCACGCCCGCCGACCTGCACGGCTTCTGGGACATGGTCTTCATGCAGGTACCCTCTTCTCACCTCATCACCACACGTCAAGTTACTGACCCTCAAGAAACCTCTTTACCTCCCTTTTGAAGAACCCCATGCTGTCTCTTGGGAAAACCTCGGCAGGGAGCTCATTCCATTACCTGAGTGTTCGTGCGAGAAAACATCTCTGAAACCGCGTTTACGCAACCATTTAGGCTGTAGGGTATGAGGGTGAACTCCCTGTCGATGGCGAGTCAAGGAATAACACCTGAGTACTCAGGAATGGCAACGTATGGGAGGTATCATGGGCGAAACAATATACTTTGTTATGTCCACGGTACTCCTCATGTCTATAGGCGACGATTACCATTTTCCATCAGGTAGGCCGTTAGCTTGTTTGCCATTCTAAGTTGTATAAAAAAAAATGTAACATGTTCATATAGCCTACTGTCTGTAAACAGATAGAGAACATCGATATGAGGTTCAAACGGCTGGAGGAGCGGCGTATGCGTGGATGGGCCGAGGAAGTGACCGAGGCGGCAGCGAAGCCTCGCCGCAACGCGCAGGCCTCCAAGCGACCCGTCCGCGCGCCCCAACCCGCTGGAAACAGTCGCCTGCGGGACATGATCGCTGGTCAGATGGAACTTTTTTCTTTTTTTTTATAAATTATATTGTTGATGATGGACTGTGGTAAGGGACTCAGATAGAGGGCCAATAAAATCTGCTAAAATCTTTATAGTCTTTGTTGAGTGTGGACTATATTTGTAGAGTGAAAACATTGTTTATTGTGTATTTGTAAAACAGCTAACAATGACACATATAGAGTGAACAGTTAGTTTACAATACAGCAATCAATCAATCAAGGTCATCTCTGGCCGCCCGATGTTGCGTGGGCGGGCGAGGTAGGGGCCTCGGGGTATACCCCTCTACCCCGGCTTCAACTCCGGAGGCGACGACCTCCGGGTCGCTGGGTCCTTCAGCTGGCATACACATAATGGTCTGTGTATGCCGGCGTGGTGTCTTACAGTACAGACACCATCACCATTTTATACTACAACACCAGATGGCGCTACTAGATGAAAATAAACATATATTTTTAAATATACATTTAGTTGCTAACCAACTAACAGTCTTATCATGACATGTGAGTGACGCTACTCACCACTGGGTGTGCAGTGGGAAATACTTGCAGCTTTTTATAATTTTTTTTCTGCCACTATTTGTCTGTTCGTATTGTTGTATGTGCCCATTAACCACGCACTAAATTTGAACGAGCATACAATAAATATGCACTAAGCTCTATGAAATACAAACGGGCGAGAAGGTATCGCTCCAGATACATACAAATATAAACATAATATTTATAAGTGGCAAGAGATAGTCGGGATAGAGCAAATCGGAACACGTTTAATGCGCGAGAGGGTCTCGTTCGAGATGCTTAAGTGATTAAATGAAAATTATATTGCCTTTGCAGCTGCGAGGAAAGCTAAAAAAGAGCAAGAAGTACAGCCTGAGGTGGTCGCGTCCCCGGCTGCGGGAGACAGCAAGACCTTCGAGGCGGGTTTCTTCTGTGTGCGGTCACCGGTGCGAACGTCGCCGGTATTCTCCACACCGTCAAAGCCTAGCTTGCTAAAGACTGTTCTCTCTAGTGAGGCTAAAAAGTCAGCATCTAAGGTATGTTTATTTATAAAGTTTATAAATTAATCCTAACTAATATTATAAGTGTAAAAATGAGTTTGTTTTCACCTTTTGGGGCTTAAAGACTTATCCAATCATTATAAAATTTCATATACAGAGTGTCCGGTAATTAATAGATAACCTTGAAACGTTTTATAGTTCAACTTATGGCTTCCTCCGTCTACTGTACAAGATAGGGAAGAATCTAGACTACTCTATACAAGTTAATGAACATATCCCGATTATGCGGACAAAGTTGTTGGTATAATCTAGCAAATAAATATTTGAATGCTTGCAGGGCCATAGCTAGATCCAAGTTTAGGGTAGGCCAGGAGCCATAATTAATATATATTCATGAAAGGTCGATGGACCGCCTTTTAGGTCAAAAGGTCCGAATTTGTTGTCAAAAAGTATTAAAAATTAAATGGCAAATTAGTCATCAAAATTATGTCCGTCTTCTTCTCGGTCTTTTGTCTAAGTCCCTTTGTTTTGTCCCAAGCTGTCAGTTTTAATTGTAGAATGTCTTAGCGGTCAGCGATAAAATCGGTCAAAGAGGCCGCAACAATTCTTTTATTGCACTTTTAAATTACATGTAATATAATGCATTTATAAATGTTGTGAGCAAGGGTGGACTTATCTCTGACAGAGATCTCTACCAGTCAACCCAATGCAGTTAGAAAGCATGTTGTTAGCGGGCAGCTGAAGTGCTACAACTATTAATATTTAGAGTACATAAACAAATATACAGTTAAATCGAATATTAAAATATATAATAAACTATTACGTAAATACATATACTGTAAGTAAATATAATACCGGGGGGAAAGGAATTGTCAATGGAATTTGACAGCTCCATTGCTAGCAATGTGCCCTATTAGGTCGATCTCCACATGGTTCCCCCTGGAAACCATCGTGAACAATTCTTGTTGAATTCGTCACGATGGGCTAACTGACCTGCTTCATTCTCACCTAACATCCTTCACAGGTGCCCCGCCGGTGCATACCGATAGCGCGGGTGGGGTTACCATTCCATTATCACCCATAAAAATATAATACCTATTTATTTATAAATGTTAAAATAAATTAATATAATACCTATATTAGAAATTTAGTTTAATGATTTTAAGATTTGACAGTTCAATTAGAAAAATAAAAAAATATAACTCAAGGGAAAGAAAATGTGATTTCAACCTTTTCTTGAAAGAGGTAATAGAGGGGCTCTCTTGTATGTGAAAAAGGAGTTTGTTCCAGATTTGGACAGTTTGATATGTGAAAAAGTTGCCCATAAAATGTGTCCTACACAAAGGAAGTTCGAGAATTAGTTTACTTCGAAAAGCGAGTCTATCTAATTTTTTTAGGGTCTTTCTGAATGAATTACACTATATGTTTGTTTCGGCCGCCCTATGACGCGACATACTCTTATCCTGGTTTCTATTGACATAAGTTCTTTTGTTACAGAACACGACATCGTTCGCCATGTTGCGCGCGTCTTTGATGAGCAGGAATTTGGAAAGCGATGGAGTGGCTCCGCTGCCGGTAATTGATATTACAATACTAGCCGTGTGGTCCCGGTATAGAATAGGCCACTCCTTCCTTTCCCGTGAGTGTTGTAAGAGGCGACTAAGGGAACTTATAGTGGAGGGATGGGCAGCAGTGTTCCTTTATAAATATTACCAAAAGCCAAACTGCGGTTGTCAACCCGCCTGCCGAGTGTGGTAACTATATGGGAAACCCCCTCCCCATTTGTTGCGGTCTTGTTTACTGCCTTTTGCCGAGTGTTTATTGAAATATACGACAGGACAAGAAAGTATTTGTTGATTGATAAAAAAGACGACCAAAACAAGATGTCTATTAATACATAAAATCGACTATAAATTTTCCTTTTTTTTCCTGACGCATTATCACTTTTTATTCCATCTGTAGACTAGACAAGTGATTCGCAAAGACAACGAGACAACAACGAACTTATGAACACATCTAACCAATTTTTTTTTGTCTCGTGTCTATGGCTGCTGGTGTGATATTAGAAATTTAATTACAATTATTTATAATAAATTTACATTTTAATTGTAACATTCCAACTGTATTTCACAGCAAACTCCACTTACGCCAGTTAACCTCCAAGCGACTCCCGGCCGCAGTATACTGAAGTCTACAAGCAAAACCGTGTCTAAATCCGGTAAGAAATCAATTAAAGTTGTTCTCTTCGATCAATCGGACACAGAACAAGAGACACAGAGTAATAATGAAGAAAACAAACAAACTGAAGTCCAAGATAACACAGAAGTTATCACAGATAGTGGTCTATCATCTATGGATGTAGAGAAAAGTGAAAACAAAGAAAATTCTAAAAGGAAGTCCAGACTGACGAGGCAGGACGCAGTGCAGGAGGACCGGAGCCCGGTCGTGACTAGGAGTCGCCGCAAGAGCCTGCAAATGTCTCAAGAAGAAGGGAGAAGTAGACGGTCTTCGAGGCGAAAGACCTTGCAAGAAACAGACGAGAACACTCCATCAGAGGTGGTTCCTACGCCGAAAAGGTCTTCTAGAAGGAGGAAGAGTTCTACACTGCAAAGCGTTATAGCTTGATCGTTGATAGAACATTGTTTATTCATAAGATTATCAGGCTTTTAAGCAAGCCACCAACCAAATCAGTTGTGGATTTGACTCCAATATGCATCACATATAAGTTTGGTATTTGTATAATTGTTGGTTTATTTAATATATTAGATATACAATATAAACACTCAGGTTATGAAATGAGCTCCCTGCCGAGGTCTTCCCAACAGACTATAGTATGGGATTCTTCAAAAGGGGGTAAAGAGGTTTCTTCAGGGTCGGCAACGCGCGCGTAATACCTCTGGTATTGCAGGCGTTCATAGGCTACGGTAACTACTTACCATCAGGTGGGCCGTATGCTTGTTTGCCACCTCAGTGGTATAAAAAAAAATAATAGCAAATTTCTTTTGACCTATGAAATGTATACTAATGTTTGTATTGTAGTTCAAATGTAATGGAGAATACAGACCAAGCTTTATACGTTGTCCTTTTTGTTTATAAAACGTGAGACATCTCGTAAATTTATTGTCTTTTTCTTTATGCTAAATTCTCTATTAGGGAAGAAAGTGACAAAACAATGTTATGTAGTGTTAGTTTTTATATAAAATAGTACATATACTACTCACCTATTGATTGAATGTACCTTGGCAATACTTTTAATGACAAGAGATGGCGTTACATAGATCATGTAGATGATTTATTAATTTGTAAAAGAAACTGGTTATTTGTTTAGAATTATTTTAATTCCGCTATTATTAGTACGTGTGTGAACTACCATTAGTATGTGTGTCACTGTCAACACTCAAAAACTGACCACCACTATTACCACCAGAAGTTTCGCAGCTTTCCATATTAGCCATAAATCTCCTACTGCCATTTTGTTCACGCACGTTTTGCGTTACGTGTTTCACCTCTAAACGAGGCATTTATAGGTAAATTAAATAGATCGCTGCCCAGTGCATGGTGTTAACCGTTCAAAACAATTAAACAAAATTCTAATCAGATAACGAGTGATTTGGAATTCCGTAAAATAACATCTAGAATAAGAACTTTTGGGCAGAATCAACAATTTTTGGGCATATATACATATCTTTCATCTCTTCCATTCTTCCATTAGGCATTAGCACGTCTTCCATTAGGGTTGGCAGAAACAATGTAACACTAAATGCTTCGATTCAAACAAACCTCTTTCGCTTCTTCCACATTTATATCAATCTTTTTTTATATGATCGCCGGTTACGGGTACTTTTAACTTGGCTCTTCTTCAGCACGTCGCCTATTTGGTCAACATACGTCCGTCTAGGGCGGCCCCTACCGACATCTTTATTCATTCTTGCTCTATTATAATTTATGTATAATTTTCTTATATAAATATTCTATTGTTCAAGAACATTTTTTTCCAAAGAAACACTGGAAAACGCCAAGAAAGTTAAACTCGTTTAGGCTAAGTTGATAGCCCAGCTGTATCGGGGCGTTCATTTTTTGTGTTATTTAGATGTATTGCTTTTTTGGTAAACATTTTAAAGGTTGTAGTTGTACTGCTCATGTCTATAGGCGACGGTTACCACTTTCCATCAGGTGGACCGTCAGCTTGTTTGCCATTCTAAGTTGTGTAAAAAAAAATAATCAATGTAATCAGTAACAATGTATGTGTAGGTCCCAGCATAGAATAGGCTACCCCTTCCTTTCCCGTGGGTGTCGTAAGAAGCGAGAGGGAGGGCGAGGGATGGGCAGCAGCGTCCCTCTTAAAACATCTCCAAAGCCTACCAACCCTTCTGCCAAGCGTGGCAAGTATTGACAACCCCCCTCTCCCAAATATAGGGGAGGCATATGTCCAGTAGTGGACGGAATGATTATGATGATGATAAATCAGTAGCAATAATCATTACGAATCATTATACACTATTAATCTTGTTTTTCCAAATAGAAAAAAAATACAAAATTCTTACAAATATAAAAAAAAAAATATGTTTTTTTTCAATTATACTATAGGTACAATATAATTTCTTCCATTTCATTCATCATCATCATCATCATCATCATCATCATCTCGGCCATTATCCGTCCACTGCTGGACATAGGCCTCCCCCATAGACTGCTATAAGGAACGGTCCTGAGCCACCTGCATCCACTGACTCCCTGCAATGCATTTTTAATTTGCAATTTCTCCGATTTACCGAGTTATAACTGCATATTATGGTAACCCTATTTACGCACACGTGGATAAAAAAGTTGACTTGTTTTAGCAAATAATTTCATGTCAATGTCAATACGACACTATCTATCTATATGATGTAAAGCTCTAATTAGGTCAGAATTCGTTTTTAGGAAGACCATGTGGAGGTCGACCTGGATATTGTTAGCAATAGGAATTAGCGTAATTATTAACAATCTTGTAATACGATCTATTTAGGTATTAGTACAAATAACATACCGGTAAATATACTGTGAGTTGGTTGAATGAGGTAATGAAAAACTTGGAAGTAAAATGAATGGAAAAAGGATTTGTGGGAATCCTTCTAATCTTGATTACCGGATGCCTTATGTATGTAGACTGAGTAAATCCATTAATATTAATACAATTAATTGTAATTAAATTGACAATATAATAGCCTGTAATGTTTTTCTATTGTTTTTTTTTTTTTTAATTTGTTAGAATGTGGCGTGTCTTTGTTTCACTACGAATTATGTAGTCTAGTGTCAAGTGCCTATATTATAATTATGTTCCAATTTATTAAAATAAAGTATTATACCTGGGTATTGTGTTTAATTTATTTATATCAAAGCCGACTGTCAGCGACGACCGTGAAAAGTGGTAGCAGTCTTTCTTTTATGCTTAAAAATACCACAAATAATTGAGAAAGCTGTTGATTTGTTGAATAGATAATTTTTCTGGCCCTCTTTGGCTTCAAAATTTGTATTTTGCGCGTTATGAGAGTAGATGTTGTAGTAGTGAGAGAACTATGTAAACGTTGAGGCTTCAAGATCATATTCAGTTGTTTCTGTTTATTCCAAAAATGGTCTAGCGTGAAGATATAAATTATATAGTTAAAGTCTATATTAAATGAAGTAAACAACTTTTTAAAGAGAGTTTTCCTGCTGGAAAAGAAAACTCTTTAAAAAGTTGTTGCAAACTCTGAGTGGATATATATATATATATATATATATATATATATATATATATATATATATCAAAATTAAAATAAGTATTTGAAATTATTTGATAGATCAACCTATATAAAAAAAAATTGTTACAGACTTATGATTTGTTTTTTTGTCAATGAAGAGAATTAAAAAAAAAAAATACATGTCAAAGGTAAAATCCCAAAAAAAAAGGTAAAATATTGTTAGTGTATTAACTTTTATGTCGGTAGTATACGTTCCCTACGTGTATGTATCGGAGTGTATGGCTAGCTTGCAGGCTTCAGCCAACTATATCCTTTGGCCAACGCTCGTGACCTACATGGTGTATTGCCAAATTGTTTGTTAGGTAAGTACCTATATTTACATAGAGTTAAACTCGCTTTGCTCAAATGGAATGGAATTATTTCTGCCTTTGTTTTAGAATTTGACATGTCCTATTTGTACGTAAGATAGCTGTTTTAATTTCAACAAGTCATCAGAGAGTTTTACGAAACAACTTAGAATCTAACTATGTTACAGAATATATACTAGTCTACCAGAGGGAGCCTTTGTACAAAAGTCGTATGCTTGGGTACCTCTGTCCCATTCGTGTTTCTACCGTGAAGCAATTTTGTTTGCATCGCTGTATTTCGGTTTGAAGGGCATATGGCAGTGAATTTACACGGTACAGAGGAATGACCTGAGTCCTCAAAAATGGCAACGCATGGGGGGTATCTGTTTTGTCCATGGTACTGCTCATGTCTATAGGCGACGGTTACCACTTACCATCAAGTGGGCCGTCAGCTTGTTTGCCTTCCTAAGTTGTATAATTTTTTTTTAATAGGTGACAATGAAATGGTAACCTCGTCTTCACTATCGGTATATGTTGGCGAGGCACCAGTGTCTGGTGACAGGTGAGGACGGAGGATGAATGCTAGTCAGTTGGCCAATCGTGACGAACACGACAAGAATTAATTACGGTTTTTAGGTAAAACCGCGTGGAATTCTACCTGATGGGGTATATTGCTAGCAATGGTGAGGTTGTTAAACCTGGCAGAAAGTTGTGACCGCGCCACTTTCTACGAAATAATTTTAAATGCTGAAAACAGTGTTATATATACTTTATTTTTGTTCAACAATCAAAAGTATATTATAGTGAAAGACAGTTTAATACTATTTTTTTTTTAAGTTTTTGTTACTGGCAACCCCAATCTCCATCCAATTCATGTATTCGCTCGCATGAATTCTCTATCGCTGGATTCGCTTACTACTTGACTAGAGAGTTTGTAGAACTGTTTCAACGAATGAGGTACCTTGTTAAAGTATTTTAAAAATATAACATTGTTTATGGCATATCCATTTCTGATCAGTTATCCATTTTGTAACCTATCCGACTCTATCCTTTCCGTATTCTCGGATAGCAAACGAATGCTAATCACAGTGCCCGCAACTCTGCTGTCTGTGCAGCAATGGGCCTGGACTGCAGCCAACGTATAATGCACCGTGAGGACTCTGTGGTCCTTACAGATAAAGAGATTATACTGTACCGTTTCAGCGTAATGTGGTAATATAATACAAGCTTCATTATAAGGCTATATGCACGTAGAATAAGACTTCACTTGTACCTATTCGTTATTTAAAATTATTAAGATTGCGTTCCACAAAGAAAATCTATTTCTATTGTGGCAATACTATTTATTTTAATTTTAAAACTATGGCACTAAACCGATTTTAATAGAATTTCTATTGGACCTATTTGTAAGTATATACTTTCAGATAAAGAATTTTTCAAATCAATTTACAACTGATGGAGTTATTAGATTACATTCACAAAAAAAAAAAAACGAAATTGAAACTACCTTCTTTTTGAAGTCAGTTAAAAAAGTCACTACTACGTACACCAAAACAATTAAAAGTTAGTACTATTTTAGATACATAGACAGATAATTATTTATTTGTTTGCTACAATACAGAATTATATATCAATCAATAGATGTATAAAATATAAAACATTATTTTAATAAAATAGTTTCATAGTTTTAAAGGATAACATTGAAAATTTCCAAAGTTACATTTAATTATAAAAAAAAAGATCCCTTAAGTAGGCGCCTATTTCTTTATAATGCTAATAGCTGGCTTTCATAAAATTTCACTCATACCATTTATGAATAAAGCCAGTCTATTTAGTTTAAGAATGTCTAATTGAATGCCTACTCAGTACATAAAAATATAATTTATTCATGGAAAATTTAACTCACATTTTGCTATTTAGACGCTGAATATTACGCTTTTGACGCTCGAAGGAGCGGGCAATTAAAAGAGCAATTAAAAATGGCAGTCGAGCCACTCATAATAATAACAATTAGGGCAGAGTTTTCGTTGTTAAACTGGAGATAACATGGGGTCAGATTACGTAAATCTATGCAAATTTAGCTGAAGCGACGCAACCGAGACCGTAATAGGGGGTAATTTTGAGTCTCCGCGCTGGCGGGCCAGGGAGGAGCGCGAAAACTCAGTTAGAGTTGGCTAATATCCGATATCTATATATCGAGTTCCTCTGGACATTTTTTTTAATGGATGATAATGGAATGGTAACTTTACCCACGCTATCGGTATACACCGGCGGGGCACCAGTGATAGATGACAGGTGAGGATGAAGCAGCGGGTCTACCATGAAATGAAATTCCGAAATTTCGGACCCAATTTCACGTTTTTGTTTATACCAAAATCGGACCAAGAAATAGAGTTTAACATTTCGTTCGTCATACATCTTATCATAAAAGTCCAAAGGAATAATATTTTAACATTTTTAATATTTCCATACGGCATGTATTATGTAATTTAGACATCAAATTTGTGTTTCGTTTGGCTCCAAAATTTCGGAAATCATTTCATGGTAGGCCCTCAGGTTAGTTAGCCCATCGTGACGAATTCAACAAGAATTGTTCACGATGGTTTCCAGGGGGCACCACGTGGAGGTCGCTCTGACGGACTACATTGCTAGCAATAGAACTGGTATGTTTGTGTGTTTAATTGGTTGTTGTTTTGTAACATTTCAAAATTAACCAATCGTGTTGAAACTTATATCTGTACTTAGTATTTGGGATAAAGAAGGACATGAGCTATTTTTTGTCTCACTCAATCAACATAATCTGATTACGCCAACGAAATCGCGCGTTAAACTAAACATAAAAAACAGAAAAGATATTAAAAAAATAAATACAGGTAGCGGGGGTCATAAAAATAATAAGAAAATAGTTGTGTCCCCGTAACATTATAAGAATAATAGCTATAGGCTTGTGCCGCGGCGCGACGCGTATAATGCGCGCCGTAATGTAAACAATATTGGCTCTGCGGACGGGGGGATGTTGTAGGGGCACCGCGGTTTTGATATTTACAGGACTTCAAATGTTTATTTTATTTGGACGTGTGGTCCCTGCGTAGAATGGGCCACTCCTTCCTGTTTTGAAGGTGTCGTAAGAGGTGACTAAGGGAGGGCGCAGGATGGGCAGCAGCGTCCCTGTTAAAACATCTCTAAAGCCTAACTGGGGTTGCCAACTTGTCTGTCAAACGAAATAAGTATTAATAAGTATGGGTCAGGAACATAGAGTGCATTTATATATAAGTATATATACTATTAAATACATAAACGACTATGCAGGATAGTAAACCTCTAGTTTTTCTTTTTATTGGATGAAAATGGTATGGTAACCCCGCCTGCGCTAACGGGATACGCTAACGGAACACCAGTGAAGGGTGATAGATGAGAATGAAAACAGGTCAGTTAGCCCGTCATGATGAATTCATCTGGAATTAATCATGATAGTTTCCAGGGAGAACCGCGAGGAGGTCGACCTGGTTGGGTATATTGCTAGCAATGGGATTCTTAGCCTCCATTACTAACAATCCCTTTCCCCCCGGATGGAAACCTCTAGTTCAGGTGACCCCGCGAACTTCGTACCGCCTAACAGTCGATACTTTAATTTTTTTGTTTTTTTAATACTTATTCTACTATTCGGGACGCCGGGTCAGCTAGTAAGATAAAAAAAGAAAAAAGAAAATTAATAAGTCGACAATTATATTATGTCAAAACAAAACGCCGTTGCACGTCACTCAATTGTTTTGCCTTCCTGGAACCTCTCCACTAACACTTGAACTTTATGGTATTGTATTAAAGTTCAAATTGACTATTAAATATTATTACGAATTGTTTATACGGGAATATAGAAAAGTGTTGTTTTTAAACTTTTTCAAGAAATTTTCAAAATTACGTACTTTAAGAAATATTCTATAAAAAGAATTAGCGAAATCGGTTCAACTGTTCTCGAGATTAGCGCTTAGCAATACATTCAGCGATTCATTTTTATATTATAGATTATAGAAGAAAGGAAGCTTTATTGGGGACCAATTGCATTTAAAGATCTAAAATTACTTTGTATGGGGGGGGGGGGGGGGAAAGGGATTGTTAGTGATGGAGACAGACAGAATCCCATTGCTAGCAATATACCTAACCAGGTCGACCTCCTCGCGGTTCCCCCTGGAAACTATCATGATTAATTCCTGATGAATTCATCATGATGGGCTAACTGGCCTGTTTTCATTCTCATCTATCACCTTTCACTGGTGATCCGCCAG